TTCTATAAAAAATCTGAAAATTTGATGTGCATATGTCTAATGTTCATTTTTGACCGCCAAATGGCTAATTTTTTTTACTTTTTCCTCCATATCTCCGAAGTCGTTGCACCTTCCTTTCCAAAAATTTAAACAGTTTTGCATTTAGTCAATACAAATAAAATATTTTTTGAATTATTCGAAGTCGTCACTCCATTCTCTTAAAAACTGAGTTACCGTTTTTGGTACTTTTTGCCCCATATCTTCGAAACGGCATCAATACGAATAGAATGTTTTTTGAATTATTCAAATCGCTTCATCCGTGTTCCCGAAATCGTCGACGAAAATTTGTATCCGAGCACACACATACACACATACATCCATTTTTTCTAAGGTATGCCAAAATGTTCAGAAGGTTGTGAAACGTAAAGATATATAAACATTTTCATTTTCGATTTTTTTCGATTACTATAACTTGCCCTACGGGAAGTTAAAAAGCATTTTACTTGTATTGACGAAATAAACAACTGGTATTTGGGAAGGCAGGTCCAGCGGTTATGGACTCTCAATAAAAATAAGTTAAAAATGTGTCATTTGGCGCTCAAAAATGTTTATTGGACATATGTACATAAAATTATCAGATATTTTATAGAGATATTAACCCTTTCAACTCGGATGCCGCCGCTCCGGTGGCATGGTCTTTTTACCGTTGCGCTCGGATGCCGCCACTACGGCGGCATGATACGTTTTACTGCTCCACTCGGATGCCGCCGCTCTGGCGGCAAATCGTGTCGTCGCAAACTAAACTTACAACATGTGATTTTTTCATACTTATGAAGTTAATTCACTATTAAGTTCATTTACTGATTAATTTATAATTATTTTCATAAATATATGATCAAATTAATTTAATTGATCATGACCACCATTATTTTTTAGATATAATTATTACCAAAGATTTCGTTTTATATATTATATATATATATATATATATATATATATATACAATGTAATGCATTATACATATGCATAATATACATACATACACACACACACGTATATATACGTGTAATAGAAAAAATAAAGGTATTATTGGGGTTGTTCTTAATACGGGCACGATAACCGTATCTACCTCCAAGAATATTGTTTTTTAATTATTTTTTTGTTTAGTTTATATTCATAATATATTTGATATAATTTTTATTAATTAATTTTTATAAACATCTGTGTAAAAACGATTTTTTAAACAATAACATGGTTTGTATCATATTTTTTAATTTTTTTTTTCAAATTTTCTGTTTTGTTATCATATTAACGATATTTAAAAGCAATATTACCACTTTATAAAAAAATCCGATACAAAAAAAAATCCGAGTTGAGAGATATGTATATGTATGTATTGCACTATAATATACCGAGCGCAGCGCACCGTCGAGCAGTCGGACTCCCGAGTGGAAAGTGTTAATATTGTGTACACATTTTCCATAAGTTTTTTTGGGTTCCGTATCAAAATTTTCAATTTTGAAGTTTATTCATATGGTATTAACAAATGTCCTCGACATTTTTGACAGCATGGAATAACCGATTTATAAAATTGCAAAATTATTCGGGTCGTACTCGATCGCGAGGCGTTTTTGCAAAAGGCAATTTTGCGTTTCGGAGGTATGGAGCGCAAAGAATGTAAAAACGGCTATGAAGTTTTTGAGAGAACGGATTATCCGATTAGATTAATTCAAAAAACATTTTGCCAGTGGTTCATTTCGTCAATACAAGTAAATTGTTTTTTGAATTATAAAAATCGGACCCTCCGTTCTCTTAAAAACGGAGGTACCATTTTTGGCATTTTTTTACGCCAAAAACGGGTCGTTTCGAAGATAAGAGGCAAAAAGTGCCACAAACGGCAACTCAGTTTTTAAGGAAACGGAGCGTCCGATTTTAATAATTCAAAAACATTTTACTTGTATTGACAAGGTGAAGAATTGATCAATTTCATGAAGGCAGTTCTAGCGATTTCGGAGTCTAGTGAAAAAAGTAAAAAAAATCTCATTTGGCGGTCAAAAATAATCATTGTGCACATGCATATCAAATTATCAGATATTTTATAGAGATTTTAACAATAAGTATAAATTTTGTTTACATTTCTTTGGGTTTATCCGTTAGACGGCGACGTGGCGCTTACGCGCTTTGATATTTCGCCTCTATGCAGTTAAAGCAGTACGATTGCTTTGAAAAAAATTATAAGAATTTCCAAAATATTTCAAAATAAAGAAACCATTTTTTTCGAAAAGTCTTTTTTTTTCAAAACAGTAAATTTTTGTCGAAAATTTATAGTTTCTTAAAAATCTAATTTTTTCAAAGTAATTTTTTTTCAAAAATGTTCATATTTTTTATTACAGCAATAAATTACAAAATCTTTCTTTTAATTTACATAACAATTCTCAAATCAATCATGGCATTACTAAATTAGTAAATACTCAATTCTATTCATAATACATAAAGAAGTGTTATTCACTATTAAATATAAGCTATGAATGCCTGCTTTGAATGACGATTTTTTTTTCAATCGATTTAACAATATTGATTGATCGTGTATGAAATATAACAATATAATAATATCAAAATACTACAAATGCTAGTAAACTTTGTGCTAGTAAAAAATATTATGTTATGTTAGTAAATATTGGTACATACATTAAATTAAATGTACTAATTAAAATTATAATTGAAACCATTTATATATTATTAAAATTCATACGAGACGCGCTAGAGCTTCTCCGGGGCTTAGTGGTAAGAGTTTTGGTCTTGCAACCAGAGATTGCAGCTGTTACTGAGACTGCGATATCAAGCAGTAGTGATATCGCTTTTTACTTGAAAATCTAGATCTGAATATGATTTCGAGTGAAAATAGCTTTTCGATATTTTTTTTCGTTAAGAAACGAGAATTCAAAATTATCAAAATCGTATATTTACTATATCCTGAATCATTGGCTGGCGGTTTTATTGATATTTTTTTTAAATTTCCGTAGGGCAAGTTACAGTAATCACAAAAAAATCGAAAATGAAAATTTTTATATATCTTTACGTTTCAGAGGTTTCTGAACATTTTGGCATACCTTAGAAAAAATGGATGTATGTGTGTGTGTATGTGTGTGTGTGCGGATACAAATTTTCGTCGACGATTTTGGAAACACCGATCAACCGATTTGAATAAGTCAAAAAACATTCGATTCGTATTGATAATGAGACGTGCTGATTAGTTTTTGGCGAAGGCAGGTCTAGCCGTTCCGAAGATACGGGGCAAAAAGTGCCAAAAACGGGAACTTAGTTTCTAAGAGAACGGAGCGTCCGATTTGAATAATTCAAAAAACATTTTACCTGTATTAACTTCATTCATTCATTAAGACGAAGAATTGATCAAATTTTCATGATGGCAGGTCTAGCTGTTTCGGAGATCTAGTAAAAAAAGTAAAAAGAAAATGCCATTTGGCGGCGAAAAATGATCATTAGACATATGTACATCAAATTATCAGATATTTTATAGAGATTTTAACGATAACTATAAATTTTTAACGATAACGGCGACGCGGCGCTTACGCGCTTTGACAGTTTGTCTCTATGCAGTTAAAGCAGTACGATTGCTTTGAAAAAAAAAAGTTCAGAATTTCCAAAATATGTCAAAATAAAGAAAAGATCTTTTTTCAAAAAAAAAATTGTTTTTTTAAAAAAAGTAATTTTTGTCAAATTTATAGTTTCTCTAAAATCTAATTTTTTTCAAAGTAAAATTTCGTCAAAAATATTAGTCTTTTAAAAAAAATAATAATTATTGGTACGGGAAGTTCTAGCAATTTGCCTTAAGGCACGATGCCATGCGCCCCACTAGTTATTTCATGCATTTATGAACGTGAAATTCGGAAATATTTACTTACAACGATATAAAATAAAATGTTGAAACTTTATCATTAGGGTGTTACTCAGAATACTCCATATATTTTAATTTCACATGTACAATTTGATTGTTTTTTTTTTTAATAGTAAAACTATCCAATAACTTTTTCAAATTAGTTCATTTTGTTCAATATTGACAAAAAATTCAAATGTTTTAAAATTTCAAAATTCAACAAAAATTAAACATTTTATTGTTTGTTTCATTCAAATTGGTTGATCCATGATTTCGAAATCGTCGACGAAAAATTGTATCCATACATTCAAACACACGCGCGCGCACACACACATCAATTTTTTTTAATTATAAGGTAATTACTATAAATTATCCTACGTGTGTGCGTGCGGATACAATTTTTCGACATCGACGATTTCGAGAACACGGAACAACCAATTTCAATAGTCTCAAAAATCTATTTTTTTCAGTTTTCAAAAAATATTAAATCTTTTAAAAAAAAATCTTTGGTACGGAAAGTTCCAGCAATTTGCCTTAAGGCACGATGCAATTCTTAATTCTTATAAGAATGATATATTGACAATCTTCATGTTGTTCTCGTACATAAAAATTGCGCAATACCAAGCATGTAATGTTGAATAAATAATTACTCAAATGCAGTTTGTTTTCGATTGTGAATCTTTAAGTTTTATGAATGTATGGTAAGAAACGTCAGGGTTAGAAACTTGTGCATTCCGCGTTTTTTTCTAATTCTATTCATTAATTTTTTAATATATTAATTTTTATATCTTATTTTTTAGTATTACAAGTACTAGTAATTTTTCAGACATATTAACTGTTATTGTGCGCAGGATTGATTCGATTCCAGTAACGCTTATATGCGATTTTAACCAAAATTAAATATATTTATTTTCGTGCATAACTGTCGGTTAAGAAAAAGACGATAAGAAATTTAATACATATGTGCAAATGAGTGAGGTATTAAATCCTGGTGTACGAGTAAGACTCGCCCCCCGATTGATTGTATTTCCTTGTGAATTTAGCGATTTTGTGGAAGCGGACAAGCGCAGCCCTGCGCCCCACTCCCTCAACGCCGTCGTTGGGTCGATACAATGGTAATGTTTTACGTTCGGAAGTTTAGTATCTTTGCCTGTTTGCCATTCTGCATACTGTGCTCCGTGCGACGCGTTCTTTTCTCTTTTACCGATTTCTTGACAGCTAAATTATTCGGCAAATCGGCCAGATATCTCACAGGAACCGCAACACTTTCGGAATTCGGTGACGACGATCGAATAATTGAATAATTCAGGCATCACTGAAATGCCTACGGAATATGTTCATTTGGCCTAAAGCGAAATGGGATTTGTGATCATTAGTTAGGGTAGTTTAATTCGGGGCAGTTTTGACATAACCTTAAATGTGCATGTGACGTTGACAGTGCTTTGCTGACTATTATTAGTTTGATTGAATATAATTATAAATATTTTTGATATTTTTACCATGCGCTTCTGACTGTTTTTAAACAATTGTGTCATTCAAGCGCAGATCGCCGTTATAAACGAAAAGAAACACAGACACTTTCTTTTCTCTCTCGATGCAAAAAGTGTAACACGAATACCTTTTTACTTGTATACATTTACAAATTTAAGTTAAAAGTTTTATGAAATGGCGTTGAAAAATGGAAATTGCATGGTTGGACAGAACGGTGGTTGTGACAAATTACAACGAAGACGAATGACTTGGCCTGAGAGTATCCTAGATATCGTTGTTTTCCTTATCGTTTCCATAGGAATTATAATTAAGGTAAGTGTCAATTTATTGTTGGGGCACACACACAAAAAATAATTATATTTATATATATATATATATATATACATATATTATTTAATAATATATAATAATTAATTATCTTGTATATTAGTTTGGTTTGAAAATCGGGCATTACACCAAATAAAAATTATTTGAACGCATTTTTTAAAGTTTAATTTAAATCCATACGTTGCGGCTTACATCCTAGCTTTCATTCAGTGGAATTTGGAATAATATGCTGTCAATTATATTAATTAAATCAAGTAAATAATTTGTAATAATTTCAAAATAAAAATAATAAACTAATCTAAAATTAGTCTAATTAAATTACTTACAATTTTGCGCCGTGGTGCAATAGTGTTTCATTAATTAAGAATACCAAATTGTGTTTTTAGATTAATTCATTATTATTATTATTATTATTCTTAAACTCTTATAAATTATTAACTTAGTTAAATTATTATAATTGATAGTATATTCCACTCAATAGATTGATAAATCCTAGATTTTTTAATAAATTCATATATTTCTTTTTCAAACAATATATGCAATAAATAAAAAAAATAGTTTTTTTTGTAGATGTTTAATTACTGTGTTTCGGAACTAGATATCTACCATCATCAGGTTTTTCTGCTAGATACAATTTTTTGAAACATAACAACATTGATGATGATTATTACAGAATATTTAAATACTTAGGAATTAATTATATAACTTTTTTATGAAGATAAAGATTATGTAGAAAAATATTAGAAATTGTGATGCAAAAATATTAACCTATCATTTTTTAAAAATTGTTTTTTTTAATAAAATTTTCATATACAAACGTGAATAAATGAAATACTTCTATTAATTTAAACTAATGAACGTGCTGAAAAAATATTTACTTTTTATTACAAACATTGCCTGATACAATAGTTTTATAAGTTGCTATAATTATATATAGAAGTACTTAGAGGCGTGTGCTGATTAGTTAAATATTTTATTAAAAAATTATCCACTGCTGGTATTATGGAAATATTTTCAACAATGTCCTCATCATAATCATAAATATATGTATGTGCTATATGTAAATTTCACTACAGAATGTAACTCTCACGAATGACATTGATATAATAGATCTTTATGAGGTTGTAAAATGTTTGTTTGAATTTTCTCTCGATTTTGTCAATAAATAATATTTGGTAAGTGATGTAAGAAAGTACTCATGATATTGAATTCTGTAGTAAATAGTGTAGGTCAGTTATAACGCACGTGTGTCCTCTGTTGATACATCGTGTGTTGGTTTTTTGGAAGGCACATTTTTGACCTAAATTATACACGAAGACTTTCGATCTTGCGGAGAACGTTTTGCTCCATTTCTTCCATCTTATTCACATATTTCGAGTTTGATTTTTTATTTGTGAACAGTCGCTTTTCTCAGATTTTCATTCAAATATGAGTTATTAGATTACAAATGTCTGACTTGGTTCTTCTATTATTTCTTTTGTTGAATTATTTTATATTTGATACTATATAAGTTACACATAAAATTTAATTAAAATTAGTGGTGCGTGGCATCGTGCTTTGAGGTAAATTGCTGGAACTTCGTAATTTAATAAATTCAAAAATTCTGGAAACTGAAATAATCAGATTTTTAAGAATTTTCAAAATTTTGAAAACAATTGACTAATATTTTCATTTTTTTTGAAATTTTTAGATTTTTTTCAAAGCAATCGCACTGTGTATCAGAAACAAAATATCCTAATTGCCTTCCCAAAAATTTAATCAATTCTTCATTCCGGCAATACAAGTGAAATGTTTTTTGTATCATTCAAATTGTACGCTCTATTCACTTAAGAAGTGAATTGCCATTTCTTGCATTTTTTGCCTCATATCTTCGAAACCGGTGGACCTGCCTTTGCCAGAACCAGCACGTCCCCTCATCAATATGAATCGAATGCTTTTAGAATAATTCTAGTCGATTGATTCGTGTTCCCGAAATCGTGGACGAAAAATTGTATCAAAACATACAAACATACATACTATAGACACATACATCACACCCACATCCATTTTTTCTAATGTATGCTAAAATGTTCAGAAACCTTTGAAACGTAAAGGTATGAAAAAATTGTCATTTTCGATTTTTTTTGCGATTACTAAACTTACCCTACGGGAAGTTCATTATTCTATTTAAATTATATGAAATAATTAATTGTATTTTTAGGAAAAACTATTTTTTACACAATTATTTTATTTCGTAACAAAGAATATATTTGCATGGTTCTATTTGTACATAAATATTTATGAAAATTTCATAAGAAGCCGTCAAAACTTTAGTAATTAGTTTTAAAAAAAACATTTTACGCAGATTTAATTTAAACTCAATATAATATTCAAATATAATGGCTTCAAATATGGTTTAAATGCATACGCTCCTTGGACATTCATGCATACAAGCCTTTATAAATACATACATTTCATAACATGTACGAAACATTGTACACACATTACATACACACACACATATATATATATATATATATATATATATATGACATATATATATGATGATATATATATCTACAATATACGCACCTATAAGATTTTGTTAATGATTGTAAAAAACGTGGATATCTTTCTGTCTGCATTAGTTTGAAGAAAGTTTTCGCAAAGATGAAAGTGGTTTTAAAACAATACATGTATATATAACGGATTTTATTGCTAATTAATCATAGAAATGCTTTATAATTTGGCGAATAACTTGAAATAATTCAGTGTTGGTGATTATAATAAATTATTTATTAGCATAGTTGTATCTAAAATAATGTCTAGACAAAATTTAAGTCAACGAAAGAATTGTTGAAAAATTAGTATTTAACAACGTCGATTTTTTTCAGGATATGAACTAACAATGATTTCTAATAAAAATTTCATATTTGATTTCCGTAAAAAAATTGAAAAGACATGGTGCGTTTGTATCTATGCAGAATTAGTTTTATTGATACCAAAACATAAATGATTTTATTAGATGATTTTTTCGCTAGTCTTTATTTTTTTTAAGTATTTGTCTAGACTCTAAAATATAATAGCACTAGGCGAATACTCTATCCATTATTTATAACATATGATCCAGGCTTCAAACATATTAGTTATAAACATAAAGGAATATAAAGGCTTATATCTAAAACAAGAAACGCAAATAATACAAAGATATCATATAGCATGTGTTAGTGTCCGTACTTGCCGTTGAGTACAAAATTATAATTTATTTTAATTGGGTAATAGTTTAGTAGTAACTTAGTAGAAGTAATTTTGGTAGGAAGTAGTAGGAATCAACAGTTATCAGCATGAATCTATACGAACACAATACATTTCGAAAATGGCAATATTTTGGGTCTATTATTATATAAGCCAAGTCCATTATTTATCCGAATGCGTTTGCTATATTTTGGATTGCTACCCGTAGCAATGGTAATTATGGTTTAGTAGAAATCAAATGTTATCAGCGTGAAACTATACCAATACATTTTGAGAGTGACAATATTTTTGCTCTATTTAAGCCAATAATTTTAATTGCTACCCTTAGCGATGGTAATTAACAAAAAACTAGCTTTGCTGGAAATTCTTGTAATATGGTTGTGGAAGTCAGAAGTTATCAACGTGAAACTGTACCAATTACATTTTGAAAATTTGCGGTTCTGATGAATCATGATTGAAAATGTAGGTAGATTATTAAGTAGTTATTCTGATCGTATATTTCTATTTCGTTAACATATATATATATATATATATATATATATATATATATATATATAAGTAATTTTTGCACTTAAACTAATCTTCGATCGATAATGCTTGCGCTAAATGCGTTTAAATACTTTCGTTCTAAATAAATGCCTATGCATCACACATTTTGGAAGATATTTTAAGTTATTAAGAACTACTACATTTTTATTCCAAAAACCGGTATATCATTCTTGAAATATTTCATTTTGCATGTTCAAAACCGTTTTCTGGATTTAGATATAATTTCTATACTGTTATTGTTTCTTTGCTTACAATTAGTTATCACAGTCACTTTGCTTGTAAACAAATAGAAAAATAGGTGTTGATATTTAAACAAAAAATATTTAAAATATTTGCGAAGTATATTTGAGTGATAGATAAAGTATTCTGCGGAAATTGGATAATGCGCACATATTTGAAGATTTTTTTGACAAGTTTGTCTATGAATCTTATATCTTCAGCAAGTACAAACTAGATTTTGTGCATGTTCACATCTTTTTTTTATATAGAATTATAAATTTATTATTAATTTTAACCCTCCGTCGAATATTTATTTACCTTCGAACGGTCGGAGTGGTCTGGCTGGACCACACATTTTTTCGTCCTGTTTTTTTCATTGATCGACAGCTAATGAAATTTTAGGAAAAGTCTAGAAATTTCAAGTCGATAGGATTACTAAAAGTATTTTCTTTTAAGGTGAAGTCGAAAAAAGTCTGGCCAGACCACTCCGACCGACGGAGGGTTAACTGAAAAAGTTTCGATATTTTTTGATTCTATGGATTTCTTCATTTCTTTTAAATAAACAATTATCAGGCTATAATATGCATAATTAATAATTATGTTAATTATGTTATTCATTTTCAATTTTATAAAATTAAACACTACAAGTTGAGAATGATTCTTTTGATTGCATGTGTGATTGATTGAGTTTATCAATTGTATGGTATAAACCCATAATTAAGTCTTTTATTATTTCAAAATTATCACTAGTTATTCGAATTTACCAACAACAACATGTATTACATAACAAGCATTATACTTAAAATATGTATATTATTTAAATCTTTATATTCAATTTTATGCCAATTGTAATAAAATTCCTTGTAATTGCGTTGGAATATAAATATAATAAATTGCGTAATGTTTTGCAATATCATTTCTTATAATAATTGTATCAATTCATTTTAATAGATTTTTAAAATTTTCAGAATTTATTCATTTCC